AAGAAGAATTACAAAAACGTTGAGGAATCAAGGCGAAACATATATTCCGCCTGTAACTAAGAAAATTGTGAAGGAGAAAGCACTTAAGGGAATCTGCAATATAGTAATGTGTAAGACAAGAAAAATGATGTGTTATTTGTTCAGCAGTCCTTTAAGAACAATGATATTCTCACAGTTTTATAGTCTTGGTGACCTCCAAACAACAAAGAGAGTATATAGCACGTTTTGTATTATCTGAAAACCCAAAACATAGAACTACAAATAGCAATGATCCACGCCGTAAGCAAACACATTATTTTTTTCTTACCTCTAGAAGGTATCCGACAATTAGTTTGTAAAAAAATGTTCCTTGGGACCCTTGGGATAAGTGAGAAAGTTTACAGAACCGCAATAAAGAAATTGAATAGAACAACGAGTGTGCTAGAAAAAGAAAATCGTGGAGGTCGACGGGAGTTACAATCATCAAGAGACGTAGTCATTAAAAAAAGTATTATAGAGCACATAAATAGGTTCCTCAGAGTAGAGTCACATTACTGACGGAAGTCCTCAACTAAACAATACCTACATGAAGATTTATCTCTGAGTACAATGTATCACATGTACAAACTGGAAGACCAACAAACAAAGGGAAGTTTTTCTTTGTATAGAAAAATTTTTCAGATCCATGAACCTATCATTTCACAAACCAAAAAAAGATCAATGTGGTCTTTGCAAGTGTTACAGAGAAGGATCGGAAGAAGTAAAGGCTAATTTGGAAAAGGAGTACTTGTCCCACATTTTAGAAAAGGAAACGGTAAGATAAATAAAGAATAGCTGCAAAGAAAAAGCTAAAAATGATACAAAGGTGCTACATTTGATCTCCAACAAGTTATATACTTACCAATTTCTAATCATTGTTCCGTATTTTATAAAACACGGCTTGCTGTCTACAATCTAACATGTATGAAGTAGCATCTCGAGAATGTTTTTGTTATACATGGAGTGAGACTGAAAGTAAACGTGGTAGCTCGGAAATATCGACTGCTGTTTATTTATTAATTTCCGAAAAAGACAAACAAGGCTACAATACTGTTGACTTATTTGCTGATGGTTGTAGTGGCCAAAATAAGAATTCGATAATGGCTACCACTCTTTTATATCTCGTCACTAATTGCTCAAACGTTAAAGAGATATCGTTAAAATTTTTTGCCTCTTGTCATGGACAAAATGAAGGCGCTCCAGCACATAGTGCAATAGTTACGCTTTGAAAAATGCAGGTGAATTTATTGTGCCGAGCCAGTTATTGCCAGTCTATGCATTAGCAAGGAAGAAACAGCCATATAAGGTTCGTCCCTTAGACTATCGTAATTTTTTTGACCTCAAAAAACTCGCATCAGACTTAAGAGTATTATCTATTCGAAGAGATGATAAAGACATGGATGTGAATTGGAAAAATATGATGGAATTCAAAGTGACAAGTGATAATTGCAACAAAATTTATTTCAAGACTAGCCATAAGCAAACAGACTACAGGTCCATAACCTTGAAAAGAAATGTTTCCGATATTTTAAAAAAAGAGCTGTCTCCGCTGAATAGCGACCTATGAAAAATCACAAATAAAAAATATAATGATTTGACCTCACTTTGCCAAGGCGATAGGCCTGCCATCACTATACCAGAACATCAACGTTTTTATGATTCACTACCTCATGAGGACCAGCCATAAATGTTTTTGTTTGAAATCATCTTCTTATTTTTTTCTGTATTATCCTTGAGTTGCTTGAGTATTATTTACATCTGAGAATAAAGTGTTTTTTATTTAATCTTATTTTATTCCATATGGAGTGAAAGGCGTATCTTCAAATCGCTAGACTATTGTAATTGTCAAGGTTACCGCAAAGAGACGTATCTGGAAAAAAAAATAAAAAAACATGTTTAGCTGAGAATATGAATTTCCTTTCCTCTATATACTTCTCAGAAGATGATGAACACACTTTTTAGCTATGTTATTGGAAGAAATTATGCTCATATTATAAAAAGTAGTAAAGATATATGAAATCAAATACCTCTCGATATTCATTTTGCTTCTACTGAAAATTTATATAAAATCAGTTACGCCTGTTTGCGGTACGGACGACGATGTGGGGTGTCAATGTATGGATATCTTGTTAATTATCGCTTATTTCCAACAAGGAATTTCGGACTATCCAATACCGTTAAATACAGTCATCAGAAAAATGTACGGTTTGATGTTGCCTAGCTGTGGACTCAACAGATGTCAGCTGCAAATGAGCGTTCGAGACTGTAAGAAACTCAATCTTGTAAGTGACCGAACGCCGGGCAAGTATTGTTAATTCGACATTATTATTAGTTCGAGACAATATGCTTTAATAAAGGAGCTCTGGTTTTGGAACGAAATATATCCGTCCAACACTTATCTATAATTCATAAATCTTCAGTACCTAGAACACTTTATATTTAGTTTTACTTCCCACAAGAACCGCTATCAGCAAAAGTTTAGAAAATAATTTGAACTATATATTGTCCTGCCGTTTTATGATATACAGCGCCTCAAAAAGCATGGATTTAACAAGATCTTAAAAAATTATGAGTCATAGAAAAAACCTTGGTAGTGGCCCCTTTGCTCTTGCAACATACAATGCTTAGTAAGGAATATTGTGTAATCGTTCTTGCAACCCTAACAGGAGTGATAATTGTTAGTTAGATATGACTATAAATATTCCATCATAGTCCCTAAGAATTTTGTACTATATGTTGATTTCAATAGGTATGGTAAGTTGAAATCTAACACAAACTGATTTAAACTATGTGAAGGAAACAAATGATAAAGGACGAAGATGTGGGGAATAGAGTATAACCATTATAGATACTATGGTTCAACTAAACGTCATTTCTTACATTATAAAAGATAAGTAACTTGTAAGGTCTTACCCCCTTCAATAAATTTCTCCAATGGTGTCTGACTGTAACTAATTAGCGTACGTCGAGGCGGCGTGGCTGGCGTGTGTAAGACAAAGCGAGAACGTTCAAAGCTTTCATCGACGGCAATTTTCCCCTCTTGTAGCGTCTCTTCGTCTTCGTAAAAGCGGCACACACATCAAATGCAGCTCACAAAGATAAAGAGCGCGCTACCAGATACGTCTTCAAACACCCGGCCGAGTCACGAGCGAAAATTCAAAGAAACCGCAAAATAGAGAGAAAATGCCTCTCTCAGCTGAACCATCGTTCAATTCGCCTGGTTCAGTGTTTCGTTAATCACGGCATTCTCTCCTTAAAATGTACAAGCTGGATGCCTTTGGCATTTGCTTATAAAGTTCATGAATAAACGTGTGCAGAATATGGAAAGTATTTTCGATATTGATCGTATTACTGTAATTCCTGCCACTTATTCTCTCTGATTCATATCTATAATCAAAACAAAAAACATACACCGAGAAAACAAACTTCACTTATGTTCTGATCTTTCTTCATGGACCGTAAAAGGGTAGAACGTTTATAGCTAAATATTTGAAAACTACGGAGATAATATTTTTCATTTCAAAATATCCGACAACCCTTTACTGGTACTTGTGAGATATAAAATGAAACACGCAGAATTATTCATTTACTTTTGAAAAAAATTTGTAAACATATTTGCTATCATGGAAATATACGCTGATAAAATGTTGAAGGCATTCCGAGCCGTACTTTTTTGTAAAGGCTTATTTGGTCATATCAGCATCCGAACAATATGAACATGTTTACTTAATATTCAGTGATTTTCCGGGTTGGTTCCATTTGTTGCATTATATTATCATGCTTAGAGTTCGCCGACGCGCTAATTTCACTCAACTTTCCAAGTTTGAGAGAGAGGTTGGATAATCTCCTTTAGAGAACTGGCTAATAGGGTGAATTGAAACGAAGCTACTGTCGTGAGACGTCGAGTGTGGTTCCTAGAATTCCGAAATCAACGAGTTACAGGTACTGGACGTCAAAGACAGACTACAGAGCGACGAGATCGTTATTTGAGGCAACTAGCACTTGGAGATCGATTTTCCACAAGAGCAGTTGCGAACCAGTGGTTTGATGTTGTTGGAAGGGCAATAACGATGAGGACAGTCTATCGCCGAATAAGGTCTTTTAGGGCCAATTTCACCAACAGTAATATTATGGACCAATGGGAAAATACCTTATAGAAATGCAATTTGACGGAAGCTGTCGAACGTCTCTGAATATTAGTGATTTCTATTGAAATATTGAATAAAATCGTTAAAAGTCGACTGTATTATAAACAAGACCAATTCTTTATTCCAACATGATGCTTTTGTACAGAAAAAACAGGACAACTTTCATGTGTTTTGATATATGTTATAGGTTTACCTTTAACAATCCGTTATCCCCCTCAGCGAATGGGGATGCGGCAAATAATAGGTCGATTTTCTAG